GGAAAAGAAATAATTGAAAGAGTTAATACAACTCCTTTCTCTCAAATAAATTATGTTATTAAATTGAAAAACCCTCAACTCACAGAAGAACTATATCGTAGGTATCGTTTCTAATTCTTTCGACTTCACAAAGTTATTATGAAAGTTGAACACGATATATCAAAGTTTTGTGGAAAATATTTATTACATTTACTTCTTCTGCGGTTGAAATCTTCGTTACAAATCAAAGTTCTAGATTCTTTTAATACTTAGAATGATACCGGGAACACTTGGCCTTCTTAAAATGTCGTACTTGCTTCAGCGTTATCAACGAGTGTTTGTTTGTTTGTTTTTGAATTTCGCGCAAAGCTACACGAGGGCTATCTGAGCTAGCCGTCCCTAATTTAGCAGTGTAAGACTAGAGGGAAGGCAGCTAGTTATCACCACCCACCGCCAACTCTTGGGCTACTCTTTTACCAACGAATAGTGGGATTGACCGTCACGTTATCAACGAAGCTATACAAAATATAGTGTTGAATTATAAATACTGTTTTCTGTCCATGTTACTGGAAGGGAGCAAAATTTTCTTAAAGTGATTGTTTGTTTTTTAATTTCGCGCAAAGCTACACGAGCCGTCCCTAATTTAGCAGTGTAAGACTAGAGGGAAAGCAGCTAGTCATCACCACCCACCGCCAACACTTGGGCTACTCTTTTACCAACGAATAGTGGGATTGACCGTCACATTATAACGCCCCCACGGCTGATAAGGTGAGCATGTTTAGTGTGACGGGGATTCGAACCCGCTACCTTCAGATTGCGAGTCGAGCGCCCTAACAACCTGGCCATGTCGGGCCCCTTTTAAAGTGACAGAACATGCACGGATAGTTCGTTCTCTCGTTTAGCCCAATATTAATGACAGGATTCTTCCACACACACAGTGATGAAATAGCCAGGGAAAGTCTTAACATGGGCATCTCTTTGTCCCCTCTTCTTTTGTGAAATTTTTATGGTTACATTGGAAAAAAACTCCATTTTTTTATATGTTATGTAGAGAACATTCGCCCTTTCATCTTCTCCACAAAATAAAAATACTTTCACAGATCACACGAACAGTATTAACCCAGTCACACAGTTTTCATGTGAAGAACAACAAAACGAGCAAGTTTACCTAGACGTTAAGAATACCAATTGGACATTGACATGCGTTTTGTTAAAAATAAAACAAAATGTTCATTACAATTATAATAAATATGAATGTATTCTTTGGTTTTGTCTTAGGTTATTGTTTAGCTGCTCTTTTTTTTTCAGGCTGTTGACTATTTTTTTTTTTTTCAAATACTCGCTAAAGACTTTTTGACTATAATTCCAACAACCTTTGCCTAATATGGGGTACAGAATGATCCAAAATAATTAAAATATAAAATATAAATTACTGAATGGTTAATGAAAGCATAGTTTGCTCTTCTAAAAATAACCAATTTTTATAATTTGTATTTATACAAATATGGAGGCATTTTAGACGGGTTTTTTTATTTACCAATCAACAAACAACACAAGTTACAGAACCTAAACACATTCTGTCGTATTAACTCAACAGATTTTATACAACAATGACATAATTACTAGACAAAACTGTATGCATTTGCTAAACAGTGTCAAAAACACATCATCTAAATTTCTATGAAGTTTAACACGCGAATTAAAAATACAAACATGACTACAACAACAAAAAATACTAATATACGTAAATAATTTGTTTTATAACTAGAAAATAATACAAGAAATATAAACTGCAATAAAGTTCTTTGTCGTTTGACTAAGTACGTAAATATTTCTTTATGTTATAAAAAAAAAACTTACGAACTTAAAAACGTACAACAGTGTGATCGATACACGTTGACAAAATAAAACATTTATAAACACCAGCAAACAGAATTACATCGTTCAAAAACAATTTTATAAACGCGATTATTAAGAATTACGGTAAGTCAAATCACTGAGTGTACGTATTACAACAAATTAAAACACTATTCTCAATAAAATATGTGAAACCTTCTAATTTGGTTCATAATAAATTTTAAAACTCACCGTTGAATTTTATGTAGAAAAAACAACAGTTGTTACTCGTGCAATAAGACAATTCTGACTACGTTTATAGTGATAGCAAAACAAGTGACGAGTTTAAAGACACGGGTATCGAAACTCGGTTTCTAGCGGTGTAAGTCCACAGACGTAGACGTATCGCTGTGCCACTGAGGGGGGGGGGGGTATTTTTACACATTGACCCAACCAGGAACGAATGTATGAGGTTTAACAATGTAACACGGCATTTAATTTCTGTCAAAATGGTTGAGATATACCGTGATAAAAATGATTGAAGATATATCTATTATAAGCATACAGAACGATACCGTTTCAAGTAAGGAAGTGTTGAATAAGCATACAGAACGATACCGTTTCAAGTAAGGAAGTGTTGAATAAGCATAGAGAACGATACCGTTTCAAGTAAGGATGTGTTGAATAAGCATAGAGAACGATACCGTTTCGAGTAAGGAAGTGTTGAATGATATATAACGTTCTCGCATGTATACCTTGTTCACATAGATACCCAGTTCTTGTCAGGGATTGAAGACATCTAATAATAATGTGAATGTTAAAATGGTATATCAGTTCTATTTATATCCCTGATCGTACATCCAGCAAGCTCCTCCAGAAAACTAGGGGAAACGTTGAGCATAAAACAAATCTGGAGTTTTTTTAATACGAGTTTTATACTCCAGTAAGTTTCAGGAATAACGTAACCTTAAGATTCATGTACCTGTCCTCCTGTGATTTCTTGCACCAATTTTACATAATGTCAATACCAAGATCTCTATGTTCACGTAAACCGACTATCCTCACACCCCCTTATCCATAAACCCTACTTGTATACACTCACACTAGAATCCTGTGTTTCATAACCTTTATCACACCACGGATCAGTAAAATCCTCAAGTTACAGATCTTTGCATAAGGTACATATAATTTTCATAATAATAATAAAAGGGTTGTAAAATCAAATTCAAAATGATTTGAAATTTTTATAATGTTTGTTTGTCAGATTTTGGGCAGAGCTACATGAGACCCCGATTTTGAAAGATATATCTTTTTGAAAATATGTTCCCAGCTCATACACGTTAAGTCTCGGATGACAGTAAATTGTGATGGATATAGAGGGAAGTTATCTAGTCAACATCATCTACTGCTAACTCTTGTCAGACCTAATGATGGGATTAGACTCTCAGTCAACATCATCTACTGCTAACTCTTGTCAGACCTAATGATTGGATTAGACTCTCAGTCAACATCATCTACTGCTTACTTTTATCAGACCTAATGATGGGATTAGACTCTCAGTCAACATCATCTACTGCTAACTTTTGTCAGACCTAATGATGGGATTAGACTCTCAGTCAACATCATCTACTGCTAACTCTTGTCAGATCCTAATGATGGGATTAGACTCTCAGTCAACATCATCTACTGCTAACTCTTGTCAGACCTAATGATGGGATTAGACTCTCAGTCAACATCATCTACTGCTAACTCTTGTCAGACCTAATGATTGGATTAAACTCTCACTTTTATAATGCACCAACAGGCCCAAAATATGGAGCGCAAATGTTTTTTTTGTTAACTGGACTTGAACCACAAAATCTCAATCTGGCTCGCTAAATACCGGGTTGAGCTTGGCCCAATTTGAATAACCTGTACACCTATTCAGAAATAATTATACATTCACTAGATTTCTCTACAGACCAGAAGTTGGGAATCACCGTTTTAAAAAAAATTGAATAGAGTTCAGGCAGCAGCATGGATCGGGCAGACAGACACTAGAAATGGGACAGTTAATGTCAGGCAGCAGCATGGATCAGGCAGACGGACACTGGAGATAGGACAGTTAATGTCAGGCAGCAGCATGGATCAGGCAGACGGACACTGGAGATAGGACAGTTAATGTCAGGCAGCAGCATGG